ACAGATGGAGGCAAAGAATATCATTTATGGTTAAAAACTGCAAACCATGCATAATATAAGAATTCATTTAGGTTCATCACAGAGACAGTGGGAAGAGATAATAATAACATAAAGATTCATCATGAGAGAATACAACTTTGTGGTTTGTGAACACCACTGTCATATGTGATAACCAGAACCTTATGCTGATGAACGCACTGCCAAGTTCGTCAAACACGCTCCTCATTGGTAGCTCAAATGTACGTGCAGTAATATTTACTGTGTATTGGAGAAGTGTGTTGGATGCCTGTAAGAACCCTTTTAGCCTTATAACTGTGGTATCTGACTGTCAGTTTCAGGCAGGAAAATGTAGGATGAAAGGAAAAGAAATGGCATAAGTTTCTCTTCTTTGGCATTATATGATGATGGTGGTACAGTTGCCTCAAGAAGTTCCTGTGTACCCTTTGTGCTAATTCCTCATAATATGGCACCTTCTCATTAGTAGCATAACTTTATGGCTAAATGGGCATTCATTCTGCATTGACATTAGGTACATATTATATGACAGATATCAGAATGGCAGGCAATTATGGTAATATGGGAATGGTTAGAATATCACCAGGGGTAAAGAAACTTTTAAAGGCAGCTGTGCTTGGACTCGTTTGTTTTTTTCTTTCTTTCTTTAATTCATTCATTCATCTATGTGTTGTTTAATTGCAGTGATATTTAAGAAGGTGTTTACTGCCAGACTTCTCCAAAATATGCAATCATTTCTATCTACTCTTCATTTTTAATTACAAGAATTGAGACTGCCAGATAAGTGTTACATATATGTGTATGTTATGTAGAGAGTTATGTTGAATCTAAAGCAAACTGTGAAGGGTTAAGATAAAGAGAAGAATGTAATTGTGTGTTCATGTTTAAGTATTTTCTTTTATTGTACAGTTTCATCAAGTTGGAGTTGATGTTTATTTATAAAGATTAGCTAGAGCTGCCGTGTGCTTTTATGCAGGCAACGTGGCAGTGGAATGTGCATTTTGAAGGGAAATACTTCTTTTATCCAATGCCAACATTATTATCCCTCCATTACTCCCCCAAGTGATTAGTTTTAAGGCCATTAAATACTCATTGTCACTTTCAATGGATTTCACTGTTTTGTTACTTTTGTTTTGTGTAATCCAACCTGAGTATCTTATCCACTTTACGTTTTGATTCTCATTTGTTCTTGACTTTTTTCAATGAACATAAAGCATCTTCTGCACATGACTGATATTTAAAACCAAATTTAAGTTTTGGTTTTTGGAAAGATATTCTAACTAGTTTTTGCTGTATGAATAAGCTTTGCTACTAAACAGTATATTTTTTTTGTTAAGAATTATACACAGAATCTCTCTTTTCTAGTACTAGACATAACTAGCACTCTCCCTAATATGAAATTTCATAGAATTTGAAAAGATAAAGTAAGGTATTGCATTAATACAAACCCTCATCCAAAGCAATAGTAATAGAAATACTTGATAGAAATTATTTTAGCAAATTTTGCCAGCTGATTAGAAATTAGTTACAATGCAAAAGCCATCCAAACCATTACCCGTGTTGATTAGATTTCAAAAGTCCCTCCCTGAATTTTTGTATATTTAGAAAATGGAAATCAGTTTATATGAAACAATTCATCCTCATGATTGGTGATTTCTTGTAAATTTCCAGTGCTCATTGAGGTCTTGAGGAGCTGAAACTAGTTCTATATATATATTAATACAATATAATGTGTGATTGAAGAAGAGTTCCATGTGCTAGTGCATTTATATGACAGGTATTGTCAAAGTATGCACAGAAGATGAACTGAAATTGATTTTATTATAGGTCGCTGCATCACAGTAGGATTTAAGCCACATTTTGTTTTGGTAAGTGATGTTATATGTTATGTGTTATGTCAAGTACCACAAAGTTTGACAAAAAACAATAACACATGATGGAAAGGATATGTATGTAAGGCTGAAAGTAGACCTGTTTTATATATAGGAGAACTATGTTGTTGATACATTGTTTTTAGATTCTATATGAAAAGTTAATGGGTCTCTATGAACTCGTAACTACTGTGCCAATGTTTGCATTATTATTGTTATTTTTATTCCAGTAGATCACTTTATTTTTCATTGTTTGTGGTATATAATACACAATGTGCCAAGAATGCTTTTGAGACATTCAGTTTATAAACAAGTAAAGATGATGGCAATAAGATTTAGCAAGACTTTTTTCTTTTTCTTTTTTTTTCCCGAAAATTACTGTTGAAGTTGCTACTAGCTAATCAGCATTTCATATGATGTAGCTTATGGCTCTCTATTACCATCAAAAAGAATTTAAATTATTTTCATTAATCATGTGAAAATAGGAGAATCAAGGTAAAACATGCAATTATATGTTTTTCAGGCCTAGAGAAGCATATCCATGGCAGGTTTGAATGTAACAAGGGGAAAGGTTAAGAAACTGTTGACTTAAAAATTAGGATAGAGATGTCCTTTTCTGTCCATATGGCATTCCCATGATAAATGGCGATATTATTTTGATGCCAACTCCAGATTGATTATTAAAGATTGTACATGCACAATACAAGTATTAATTATTTTTATATGTAGTATGAACTTTGATGCAGTGAAGTGCACCACTTACAAGATGGTCTGAACTTGAGCACACAAGATAACATGTAATTGACAAATGTGGTTAGGTGTCATTTATTTGTGTTATTATAAATATTAATCAGTATTTTATTTTTTATGTGGTTGATTAAGGAAGTAAGTGTAGTTGACCTATGGTGGAGTTCCACAATCCACTGAATGTACTATTGTGTCTTTACTGCACCATCCACTTTCAGGTAGCCTTCTCTTCTCCTTTGAAATCCTCAAGAATTGTTATACCATACATGTGCTTCCCTCTTATCTGTACATACTCCCTTTTGAAAGATAGTGCTAGTAATGACAATACTCAGGACATAGTGGCTATGATCTTTTTACTTAAGGACTGAATTCACTCACTCTTGACAGAGAGTCACTGGAGAAGCAGGTGACTTGTTGAAGGAGGAGAAAGAAAAGGCAAAATATGGGAATGTAATCTACACTGTAGATGGGCTAATCCATTCCGAGAGTGTAATTGGTGTACCCTATTCCTGCCTATGCCTTAGCAGCATCTAAGAATTCACTCCTACACTCTTGATAACAGTGTTCCATTAAAAAATCTCATCACCTGTCATACCCTAACTGTTTATTTTCTGTACATTTTTTCCTTTAGCTGTTTCATGCTAACATTCATGGACAAATGTTGGTGATAAGTGGTTTAATTAAATGCTTTATAAGCAGTATAAAATGTTTGTTATGACTGATTGAAATGTATGTAGATGGTAAAATCCTTTTGCACAGGAAATGTTATTTCATATGCTATGTATCTGTATTAACATTTCTGTATTTCTCTAAGGAGCTATAATTTTGTGCTGATAGTTTTATGCACATTTGGGTTTCATACTATCAAAGCCATAGTGATAGTGTGCATAAGACTGTATTTTGTAGCAAATGCTTGAATTTTCAGTTTCTTGCACATTGCACAGTTCAGATATTAGGCTTCAAAAGTTTAGGTGAAATCATTTTTTTTAATATAGGTGTTAAGTATAGACTGTAAATTAACATTCATTGTATGGGGCTTTGCATAAGATAGGAATAAGGTGTAGATCACCTAACTGAAAGAAAACTGAACAGCTTGGTAAATTGCCTACTCCAGTAACAGTGCAAGGGATTTGTCTGCAGCTGAGCAATAACCATTATTTTTGTAGTGACTTGCATGCAAATCCCACCCCTCTCCCTCTGGCATCGGAAGGGAATTGTAGATGTGAAGTGCATGACTGTAGAACTTATAATTTGTTATAAGTTGAAACTTCAGGAGATGTACATTTATGGAAGGGAAAGTTATTGATATGATATACCATTAATTGAATGAAATTTATTAGCAGAAATCCAACAGTATGTCTGGCAATAGCTTGCATGTTTTGCAACTAAAAGATTCTGGATTTCATAAGTTCATTTACTAGACTTGTAGAAGGGAAACAAGTTTTCTGGAGTTGATTTAATGTCACTTAAAAAATGAAACTGGAAACTGGAACAGTTTTTGCAATAGGAATGTAAAATTAAAAGGTTGATAATGCTATTTTATTTCTTCTATCATTTAATTTACTTAAAATTATGCAATAGGAATGTAAAATTAAAAGGTTGATAATGCTATTTTATTTCTTCTATCATTTAATTTACTTAAAATTTTGCATTAATCTATATTTGCCTAATCTGACAAGTGACATGTTTTGATTAAAAAAAAATAAATAAATAATGTAAAAATGTATTTTGCTTTTCAGTTAACAGGCAGTGCATACAGTATTTTGTTTGGGTGATATCAGAATTTTTACTTTCTTTTGTTCTGTAATGAAATAATCATTAATGTTACTTAAAGAAGAAACAACTCTAGCCACTGTGTGCTTAAATGTTTGTTTTAACTGTGCTCTAAAGCAAGTTGCATATGCCAGGAGCATTTCCATTCCAGATTCATGATTAGTTTTTTGTTTCTTTGACTGAGGCATTATAGTTTAGGTGATTAATGTTGATATTTATAGTAATTTGGAGAGCAAGAGAGATTTACACAGCAATAAAGATATGTGTTTGGTAAAGGTACTCTTCAATATTATTAGCTACTGGTGCTCAAAGAATATATCACAACAGGCTTTTTTGGCTTTGAAAGTGACTATGGTTTTGGTTGCTTGTTCTGTGTAATTACAAGTTTATGATTTTTGTCTGATTATTCTTTTTTTCTCCTTTGTTATCATAATTTTTACGGAGATTTAATGTTACTTTTTACGTTTCTGTTTATTTATGTAATTAGTTTTTTTTTCTTTTTTCTGTGTCAGAGATGCACTTGAGAGAATGGTGAAGATTGGCCAAATGTAACACGTTTGAATAACCTCATTCTATTGCAACCAGCCAGTGTGATTATTGGCTATTTATCATCACCGACTACTAATTATCAATTATTAATCACCAATCTGTCAGTTATCAAATTATCAATTATCAACACAGATCTTAAAGTTATCTCTTAATAATCATGGTTAACCAGTTATCAGCCACCACTACCTGTCAAGTGTATCTCTGACTTGATTGAAAAATGAAGAATTGTTAAATATTTCAAAATGGTTTAATGTGTTATCAGCCACCACTACCTGTCAAGTGTATCTCTGACTTGATTGAAAAATGAAGAATTGTTAAATATTTCAAAATGGTTTAATGTGTTTACCAGAATAATTTTATTTCTTTTTTTTCCAAAGTGTAATATGTCTTTGAAATTTGTTAAGATCTGCATATTATTTAGTTGGTCTGTTGGTAAGGTTAGTGAAATGTACTGATTATAGTAAGTAAAGTACCATGCAACGTTTGCATGATGTTGCATGGGATTATTTTTTTATCCTGTGGTTTGGCAAGGCTTTTGATTCTCAAATTCAGTCTTAAGTATTCTTTTGTTTTGTAATTTAAGAGGAAAGTGGATAGGAAGAAAAAGAAAATGTAGGCAGGTTACTTCATTGTTGTTGTTGTTGATTCTGTTGTTTTCTCTTTCATACTTCTTCCTTTATTCTTTTTGTCTTTCATTTCTTTTTTCATTTATTCTTTTTCTCTTTCATTTCTTTTTTCATTTATTCTTTTTCTCTTTCATTCTTTTGATTTTATTCTTTTTCCCTTTCACTCTTTTTTCTTTCATCTGTTTTCCATTATTCTTTTTTCTTTCATTCTTTCTCTCTTTACTGAATTTTTGGGGTAGGCTGATGCCAGTCTCTTACCCCAAAAGGACAGGAAAGCTCAGAGTTTCATGTGCGTGCAGGACAGAAAAAAGAAAAAAAGACTCAAAACTTGGTAGTTGAGAAGTGGGAAACGTCAGCAGTCTCCACAACCTTTGCTGTCTCTCGGCCTGTGTACCACTGAGATCTGAGACTGACTGCTATACCATGTAAGCCAGGGGACAGGAAAAAAAGGGGACACTTTAAAGAAAATAAAAACTGTGAAAAGGCGTTTGCTGTGTTTTAGACAGGGTAAGTCTCGGCTATTTAGAATAATTGCTGTACTTTGTCCTTCAGGGGTTAATCGCACTAATTTTATTCTGTTCTTTCCTTTTAGTGGTCTGTGTGATCGTGATGTGGCTATTATGGCATTAGCAATTTAAAAATCAATTTTACTGTTATTTTTATTCTTTACTTTTTTTATTCTGTAAGCAGAAGCTTTACCTATGCAGTGCTAGAGGGTGACCATCAGTAATTTAGTCCATCCGATAGGTATAAATTTTGTGAATGTAGGATATGATAAAAAATAAAGATACTTTTTACCTATATGATGCACACACAGGGTCTCTCTAGCCCTTGCCCTTTGTAGCTAGAGGAATTATGCTTTTTTGCATAGAGGTATATTAATTCTTTTAATGCTGACCCTTGTATGCAGATATATTTTTTATTCAGCAGCAGCATTTACTTTCTGTAATCTCAGAATATCTTTTCTTTTCTTTTTTCATCTTCTGAAAGAATTTTATAGGAAATAATGTTAAATCACCAATAAACTTTTCTGAGATATTGACATGGTTCATTCTAGGTGTATCAGGACAGGTTTTACGGGGAAGGGGGGGTTTGTTATTCGTTCGTGAAAGATTATTCTCATCCATTAAGCGGCTGGTTTGCCAGATTGGAGAAAAAAACTAAAATCTTACTTATGAATTTACCTTCTGTATGTTTCCAGATTCTTTTGTTTTTCTTCTTTCATGGTAAATGGAGTTAAAGTTATTAATACTGTTGTTAAATTATTACAATGTGCAGTGTAAGAATAGAGCTTAAGAGAGAAACTTAACATGAGTTACAGATTTTTAAGTTTGTTTTCTACTACTAGATAGTAAATAAGTGTTTTATTTGTGAGTGCTTGTGGATTAAATTTAGATTATATGTAAATAAACACCCTCTTTCTTTTCCTCTTTCATTTCGTAGTAACCTTAAATTAAATAGTTATCATTAAGTTTTGATAGTAATTAATTTGTGTGTTTTTGTCAGTGCCTGTATATGTATAAGAATGTCTGTTTATTCATATGTGAATGTGTTAAGAGTATATGTATGTGATTGTTTCTAAGGGAAAGAAAGAAACTCCTGTGGGAGTGTGCACAAGTGAATATGTGAATGTGTGTGATATATATGTGGACAGATATTTGCGAATGTGCATGCATGGGTACGTGTGCGTGCGCGCGTGCGTGCGTGCGTGCGTGCGTGCGTGCGTGCGTGCGTGCGTGCGTGCGTGCGTGCGTGCGTGCGTGCGTGCGTGCGTGCGTGCGTGTGTGTGTGTGTGTGTGTGTGTGTGTGTGTGTGTGTGTGTGTGTGTGTGTGTGCACACTTCCACGGCAATATTTACAATATTTGTCATTGGTATGATGACTTACACAATTTTTTTTTAAATATGCCACCACCCATCA